TCTAAAATTCGTCCTTCTTAACTATTGAGATGCGAGGCAACTTCCCACGCGTTAATTTACACACAATTGCTTATTCGACAGACGATGACGCTTTGCAAATAAATATCTTTAAATTAAAAGAAAGAGAAAATAAAAAAAAAATAACAAATAAAAAGAAAATGTAGATAGAATTCGAGTAGCTCGATATTCATTACTTAAAGTAGTTATTTAATATTACATTGAAATAACCTGCTTATCCTAATCTAACGCATATCCCGCTAAAATTACGTACATTAGAGAGCGTTTATTACGATGCTCAGTACGATTCGGCATTGCGACATTTCTGAAAGAGACTGTAATTTTTTTAAGGAGAAACTCTGTACTTACAAAAAAGAAAAAAAAGAAAAATAATAATATAATTGCCGTAACGTTAACAATCGTTTATTTATATTACAGCATCATTTAATGCTCTTCGTATATGGAAAAATCTATTGCTTCCGATAAGAATATGAATGAAATCATCTAACAATTATCCTATCAATGTCTATCACCAATTATTTTATATTCAAGATATTTGAATTAAACGTGAAACTGTTTTATCGATATGACGAATTGATACGTTGATTACGATCCGAATGAATAGAGGACGCTTGTAGACAATGTCTATTACGTGATGAATATGTCGGTAAGTAAGGATTCACGATTATCGTTTATATCGCGACTTGTTGACTTTTTTTGACCCATCTATACATACATACCACATGTATATATATATACAAACAAATAAATAAATAAATAAATAAATAAATATATATATATATATATATATATATATATATATGTACATTTACATCAAATATACGAGTATAAAAATAAAATACATGTATACGTGTGTGAATATATATATATATACATATATATGCAAAATAAATTTTATCGATTTCGTAAAGAATATAACATAGTAAAAAAATTGACATGCTATGTTACCGCCGAAAGAAAATCAAAAAGAAAAGGAATGAAAAGAAAAAGAAAAATAAAAAAGAGACAGACAATAACGTGGAAATATGAGGCGGCGTCCTCGATACGTAGGTGGAAGGCATCTTGCACGTGACGAGAGAGGAGGTGCAGCCGCATATCTGCATCCGCATACGTCGCGCGGCTCGCGTAGACGTAATCCGATCCCGTCGAGGACACGAGGAGGACGCTTTTCGACGGGAGATAGAGGAAAGTAAGGAGGAGGAAGAAGAAGAGGAGGAGGAAGAAGAAGAAGAAGAAGAGGAGGAAGAAGAAGAAGAAGAGGAGGAAGAAGAAGAAGAGGAGGAAGAAGGTGAAAGAAAAATAAGAGAAAAAAGAACAAAAAGCGAGAGGGATGGGGAACAGGAGGGTAAAGAGCTTTGAGAGAGACGACCGAACGTGGAATGCAGGATGCAAAGTGCAACGTGCGAAGAGAACGCGATCCAATGCCCACATGCGAAATATCTATGATCGGAATGATGAAAGAAAGAGAGAGAAAGAGAGAGATAGATAGAGAAAGAGATAGAGAAAAATGGAGGGAGAGAATGAGAGAGAGAGAGAGAGAGAGAGAGTGGGCGAGGGGAGTTTAGAAAAATGAAAAAAAAAAAAACAAAAGGAAAGAAAAGAAAAGGAAAGGAAAAGAATAAGAGAATCATCGTGACGTCAATGACGAAGTTTCTGCACTGTCGCGAATGAAGAACGCATCCGGTGCATCAGATAGATGTAAAATTGCGTCCGACCATTGTTGTCTCTGTCAAACGTCACAATCTAATCCGCTATTGAAAAGACTTTCAATCATGACCTCGATCTATGCTTCGCTAATCTCAAGGCCAAGCGCCGTTTCACGATTATTATTATTATTATTAATATTATTATTATTATTATTATTATTAAATTCCATCCTTCCGGCGTTCAATCAAGAAGGCGCCATTAAAAAGTGCATCTTATCGAGTGCAATTAAAGTTCCCCCATTTTTTTTCTCTTTTATTTCTTCTTTTTTCTTTCATTCTTTCATTTTTTTTTCTTTTTTTTTTTATCCAGATTACAATTTTCCTTCTACCGATAATAAATGAAAGGTTTTTATCGATCGTATTCGTCATGGATTTCAGCAGATTGTACAATATATATGTATGCGTAATACATGTGCACTTTTATATTTGTACTTTATACGAATAATAAGCCGTTGATTAGGCTGCTTTTCATTTCTTTTTTATTTATTTATTTATTTTTTTTTTTTAATTTTTAATACTTTCCTACTATCACAATATTAAAAATGGTCCTTCAGTCGTTTCTCATATGTAAAATTATAACATCAATATCATTAAGACAGCTGGCAGAGGTTAATCAAATTATACGCGATTATTCGTATTCTCCCGATAACATTCATTGAGATAAGTTACACTAATTTACTTTTAGATTCGTTTGTAGATATATACGTAATACATACGTACGCATCATATATATATCTATACATACATGCATACATGTATGCATATGTACGTATCTTGTGTATATACGTATGCATGTATGTACAGAAATAATTTGTTAAACGATAGGATGACGTTGATCTTAATTTCGTCGCATTAAAATTTTGTCGATGTGTTTTTTCTTTTATTTTTTCTTCTTCTTTTTTTACCAACTACCAACACTGTTAACTGACTAACACAACATCTACAATATTTCGTAAAAGTGAGATAAAAAATTGACGCGCGTTTTATATCGTCGCACAATTATCGTGGAAAAATTAATTTTCCGACTTTATGCACCAAAGCCGTATGCGATTCTGTTTGGTAATTAACCATCACCAAATATCACCAATCTCACCATTATCATCCCCCCCTCCCCCGACCCACTCTGCTTCTATCCTTTTTTTCTTTCTTTTCTTTTCTTTTTTTTTTTCTTTTTTAACACACAATAAAATGACACGCACGTAGTTCAGTTTAAATCTCGTTGAAACAAAAACGTTTTGATTTATCAAAGAAGAGTTTTCCATTCGAACGGAGTTTGAACGATTTCATATACATTGCTGCGATAGTCTCTCAGGGGCCTTCCGTTTGTCTCAGAGAAAGAAAAAGAAAGACAGACAGACAAAGAGAGAGATAGAGGGGGGAAGGGAGAAAAAAAAGGAAAAGAACAAGAAAAAGAGAGTAAAAATCAAACAAAAAATAAATAAAACAAAACAAAACGAACGAGACCTGCTATCGCGTTGTTCACACACAAGAATTCTTTTATTTGATGTATTCGCCATGATAATAAAACGCGTACGAGTTATCCGCTACACTTCAATTGTCCTCTCTTTCTTTCTGCATCGTTCTTCTTTTTCTTTTTTTTTTTTCTTTTTTTTTTTTTCCCCTAACACGAATTGTTTCGTTTCACGATAAATAGGAAAAGAGAGAGACAGATAGACAGAGAGAAAGAGACAGAAAGGGAGGGTGAGGAACAGAGAGAGAGAGAGAAAGAGAGACAGAGAAATGTACAATTTACGATAACAAATCGTTTCTCTTTTTTCTTTTTTCATTACCAATGGATTTGTTTTTAATAGAGAATTAAATAAAAGATTCTTTCTAATCGAGAATTAAATAATACAAATTCGAGCGTAATTCTTCTTCGCGAAGAACACAAGAGGTCTTCCCTCTTTTTTTTTTTTTTTTAACGGACTCTAATTAAAATGCAGAAGACGATGATAAAGAAGAAAAAAAAAAAAAGAAAAAAGAAGTAGAAAGAAAGAAAAAACCATCCATGCGTTTGTAACGACGAAACTCTTCTTTAACTCTTTTCCTGCAAAACATTTTGATCATGGATAACAAAGGAGAGAAGAAAAGAGAATGCAAAAAAGAAAAAAAAAAAAAAAAAAAAAAAGAAAAAAGAAAAATACAATAGAAAGAAGAAATTGTTAAAAGAATATGCAACTCGTCGACGTTTCGTTTAGCATTCTAATAGAATTCGTCGATTGTTCGACTGAGTTACGGGGATAAATTTTAAACAGTCCTGCTAATTAAGTTCTCTTTCGTGAGACACGATAAAAAAGATAAAGATAAATAGATATATAGACAGATAGATAGAAAGAGAAAAAGAAAAGAAAAAAGCCACGTCCAAGGGGGTTCGTCAATGATCGACGATGGATTATGTAAGGATCTACTTAATGTATCTACAGATAGATACTTTAACTCGGCGGAACTATGGTTGGCAATGGTCAGAAAATTATTCTTTCTCTCTCTCTCTCTCTCTCTCTCTCTCTCTCTCTCTCTCTCTCTCTCTCTCTCTCTCTATCTCTCTCTCTCTCTTTCTCTATTTATCTATCTATCTTTTTCTTTATGCATTCGGCGAATGTATACGGAAAGGGTCAAGGACGTATCTAAGTGCATACATCCATCTCTATAGTTGTACTGAGATACTGCCATTGAAAATTTTGTTCCATCGACTAATCCATCTATGTATGTATGTATGTATGTATGTATGTATGTATGTATGTATGTATGTATGTATGTATGTATGTATGTATATATGTATGTATGTATGTATGTATGTATGTATGTATGTATGTATGTATGTATGTATGTATGTATGTATGTATGTATGTACAAACATACAAACCTATGTATCTATCCATGATATATATATGCATATAGTTAGGTATGCATATATATTAGGTATGCATATATATATATATATATATATATATATGTATGTATGAATCTATATATCTATGCATATGTGTATAATATGTTAAGTATGCATATATGTATCTATATATGTATATATGAATCTATGTATATATCCATGTATGTATTATGTATATATAATATGATGTACATACATACAAGTATGCACAATCTTTTATATTTGTACACTTATAAAACTCTTATATACTTTAATGAAAAGAGAAAATGACAATTTTTTTTGACAATTTCTTTCATTCTCCTTCCCTCACCCCCTCTTTTCCATTCTTTATCTTTTGTCTTTATCTTTCTTTCTTTCTTTCCTTCTTTTTTTTTTCAATTACTCACCCTGTCCTGTATCCTGACGTTCTCCTGACCTCTTTTTAAGCTGGGAGCACGCAGAACCTTGCTGGTTAACGGTGGTTCCATCATGACGTCTGATCTCTCTTTCTCTTTCTCTCTCTCTCTCTCTCTCTCTCTCTCTCTCTCTCTCTCTCTCTCTCTCTCTCTCTCTCTCTTTCTCTCACTCTCTCTCGTCTTCTCCTCTCTCGTCAGGATTTCATTCCTGAAGGGAGACACCCTCCTTTTTTGTCTCTCACTTCATCTT